ATATACTGTATATGAGAGAAAATTGCAATACAAATTACAGCATTTGTAGAAAGTGGCTTCTGTTTTGTTGGCATTTGTTTCAGGGAATCAGGAAATCATAACTGCATCAATGTCTCCTGCTCTCAACTCTTGTAGTTTATTGTAGTTTACTGTATCGACCTTCACTATAAAACAGCCATGTTAACGTTACACATGAATGGTGACATGACGGAGGACTCGGGTGAGATGGACACGGACAGTCCTGCCAAACTCATCGCTCAGTGCTGCAGTGAGCAGACCGAGAAGATCCGAGATGATCCAGAGGAAGTGATGATGATGAAGGAGGAGGAAGAGGCTTGTGAACTGACTCAGGACACCGATCTGAACTTTTCCTCGTGTCTCACATCGACACAGAGCAGCACTGCGGCCATTTTTGATGGGATGGATGTTGCAGAGGAAGCCAAGTCAACATCAGAGGAGAGGAATACAACAGGTGAGAGACAATTCAATGATGGACAGCCTGAAAAAGCATCACGTTTAGGGGTTTTGATTAGTATAAAATAGCTGATACCACAATAATAAGCTGAAAGAAGAAAGAAATTAAAACTTTTACTAAGCAAGAATGCATTAAATTGATAAAAAGTGACATTAAAGACATTTATAATGTTACATAAGATCTCAATTTCAAGTAGCCAGCACAACTGTTTCAACATAATATCAGCAGAATAGAATGATTTCTGAAGATCATGTGACACTGAAGACTGGAGTAATGATGCTGGAAATTCAGCAGTGATCACAGCAATCAATTACATTTTAAAATATATTCAGATAGAAAACAGTTATTTCAAATTGTAATATTTCAGAATATTACTGTTTTTAATGTATTTTTGCACGTTTAATATCAACATTTTAAAAATTGTGACTACGCCGCTTACACTAAACAGCAGTGATGAGTTCACCTCTGCACTCGTGAAGAGAAGACTCTTAACCTCAGGTTCCTCGGGTTCCTCAGGAGGATTGTCCCTGTAAGAAGTGCACTTGTATCCCTTAACAAGATCATGTTTACTAGTGACAGATGTTGATATTTCACTTCACAATGTGGGCTTAAAGTGCAAATTGTGCAATGTTTGGGGCAAAATCAATGGTATAACATGCAAATACTGTGGTACATTAAAAAGCCTTAAAGGTGAAGTATGCAATTTTTGATATGAATAGAATAGTTTGCATAATTGTTTACAAATATATACTCATTCTTGTGTCATTCCAAATCCATAAGTTGCTATTGTTTTAGTAGTAGATCTAGTATTCCAGTAAAGTTGTATTTACTCAGGTAGTTCAAGTTGTATTAGAGACTTTAAAGAACCATTTGAAGTTTTACAAATCATTATTTAGTAATCAGACATGACTGGAAAAGTCATTTGTTAAAAAGTACATGGAAACCATGTCACACATCCAAAAAAACAATGGTACTTTTTTGTTGTATAATCATCATTGTAAAAAATTATATGATGTTTTCCATTACTTTGACTCATCAAAATAATTTAACCAATTGTAACTTCATTTGTAAGTTAAATCAGATTCAACTAAGATTTTTTTTTTAATATTAATTGAAATGACATGTCCAATTTGATGATACTTAAACATTTAAGGCATGCAGCTTTTAAATCAGATGGATTTTTTTTATAATGTAGCATTAATGTTTGTCTCTTGGTGTTGTCAGAGCTGGAGGACTTGCTGGACTCTCTGCAGCATCTGCAGCTGTGTCTGACGGATGCTGAGAGTCAGCAGGACGTTCTGCTGCTGCTGGAGCTGCTGCTGCAGTCAGACTTCCAGCAGGCGTTCATCATGCACTGCAGCGTGGCTCAGAGCACGAGACACCTCCGTCCGCCGTTCCCGCTCACCGCACAAGCACAGCAGCTCAGAGACGAGGTACAGCTCTCAACACATTACCAGACCAACGTTCAGATTCAGCTGCATAACTGACATGCTCAGAGCGGAATAACACTTACAGAAGCCCAGCTAACGAAAATATGTTCTAAGAATGTTTGCTAACGTTCTTATGTAGTTACGAAAACATTATTTCTGAAAGTTCTCTGAACATTCAAAACATTAATTTTTTTCAATGTTTTAAAAAATGTTTTTTGTTGTTTCGTTTTCTTCAGCATTTCGTATTCTTTTTTTTTTTTTTTTTTTCAGACATTATAGGAACATTACTTTGGACTGTTCTGAAAAAAGTAGTAACATTTTAAAAATGTGAGATGAACATCCAACTACAACGTCACATTAAAAAAAAATACATTCCATGAATGATTTATAAATAAAGCTGTTTTGTTAACATTTTGAAAACATTTATTTATGAAAATGTTATTTCTCAGTGTTTTTTGATTATGCAAACATTAAGGGAACATTCCTTTTTTCAAATTTTATGGAAACATTACTTTAAATTATTTTTTATTTTAAAATATTTTAAAAATATCAGACAAATGTTCAACTTAGCATTTCAGTAAAAAAAAAAAGTACATTAATGAACAATTTATGAATTTATTTTTGAAATTTCTGAATGTTCTCATTCAAAATGTTCAGTTTTGAAATGTTTTAAAAAATGTTTTTTGGTTATGCGAATGTTAAGCCAACATTCCATTTTATAATTTTACAAACATCATGGTAACGTTCGTTTTGAATGTTCTGTAAATGTTTTGAAATGTAGTGACATTTGAAAAATGTTAGATGAACTTTGAACTAAAACATTTTAGAAAAACAAAAAAACATTCCATGAACAATATTTTTATCAAATTGGAAACTGAAGGTCTTGTCAAACGTGTTTCTTTGTGTGGTATGATATTCCCTGCGTGTGCTCTGTTGCATACTGCACACTTGAAGGACGTCATTCAGCTATTGCATGCATGCTACAAATTGCATGCTCTGTATATTTCAGATATAGTAAGAGTAGCAAGTTATTATGCCATTTTTTTACTTGCTTATTCTGTCCAATGCAAAGCAATAGCACGCAACTCTGCATGCTTAAAAGTATTTAAATAATAAGCAATAATAAGCATAAATATGTAAATCACTCACAAATAAGTAAATTACATTTTTTTAATCAATTTTTAATTAGTTATTGTTATCTATATTTTCCTGTATTCAAGGAATTATACACTATACTGTTGAAAAGTTTGGAATTTTAATGGTTTTGAAAGAAGTCCCTTATGCTCACCAAAGCTGTATTTATTTGATCACAAATATAGTAAAAACAGTAATATTCTGAAATATTACACTTTAAAATACATAAATGTGAATCTGTTTTTTTGGTGGTATTTGTAGTCATTGTACTTGAGCAAAGGCGTCTGAAGTGCTTATGTAATATTCTGAAATATTACACTTTAAAATACATAAATGTGAATCTGTTTTTTTTGGTGGTATTTGTAGTCATTGTACTTGAGCAAAGGCATCTGAAGTGCTTAATAAGGACGTGGTAATTGGTTGATCTGCCCTGTGCCAAAGCATGTAGCTGGATGAAGCTGGGTTTGTAATCCGTCATTGGCTTATGGACTGAGACAAGATACTAAGACAAGATCCTGGAGGCCAGAATGAGATCTAACGGATTATTACAGTCACTGTATGTGTGTGTGCTGATTAGGTGTTTAATGCAACGCAGAGAGGTGTTAGCGAGCTGTTTCATCACGTACGCAACGTGAAATAACATTCACAAGACTTTTCATTTCTGTAATGTGATATTTCACTGGAAAACAGGATATTTCACTCAAAAAGAATGTATCCATTTGACTGGATGTTAGATACCATATGGTTGTAGACGTTTCTTATGCTAAGAAAATGTATTATATGATTTTTTTCACCCAAAAATCAAACTTTGCTGAAAATGTACTCACCCTCAGGCCATCCAAGATGTAGATGAGTTTGTTTCTTCATCAGATTTGGAGAAATGTAGCATTGCATCAGTGTCTCAGCAATGGATGCTCTGCAGTGAATGGGTGCCGTCAGAATGCGAGTCCAAACAGCTGATAAAAACATCACAATAATCCACACCACTCCAGTCCATCAGTTAACATCTGGAGAAGTGAAAACTGTGTGTTTGTAAGAAACAAATCCATCAAAATCCACCTACATATCTGTTTAGAAAGGTTTTGGCTTGTAAACGCTGCTTGATCTGTGCAGATTTCTCTCCTGATTCAGACCAGAACACTTTTTCACTGGAGGAAGCGTTATTACGGATTATGAACTTTGAATTTAACAACGTCTTAATTATAGAAGACATTATCTCAAGACACTAATTGATGGACTGGAGTGGTGTGGATTACTTATGAATTATTGTGATGTTTTTATCAACTGTTGGAAATCTCATTCTGACGGCACCCATTCACTGCAGAGCATCCATTGGTGAACACTTTTCCAAATCTGTTTGGATGAAGAAACAAACTCATCTACATCCTGGATGGTACATTTTCAGTAAATTTTCATTTCTGGGCCTAAAATCTGTGCATAATATCCGAGGGAGAATTATTCGATTTTCATCAGGTTATTTTTAATGAGCAACAGTCATAGTGATGCTTGTCTAGATGTTGCTGTACAGGTCTAGATGAAGCTCTACTCATCAGTGTTGTTGACTGCTGTTCTTGGTCTTCAGGTGGAGAGTGTCCTGCAGTCCAGCAAACACACTGAAGCCACAGAACTCACAGGCCTGCTGACGTCACCACACCTGCAGGTAAATCACGAGGAATCAATCTCACACAACATCTGCATCATTCTACTGAAGTTTGATTGGACACACATCCTTTGACCATCAAACATCAACCCAGCTAACAGTGAACATTTCCACAACTTTCACTAACATTTTTTAAAGGTTAAATAAATGTTAAGACAAAACGTGCTTAACGTAATATTTGTGGCATGTTCTTATAACCTTATTCATATTTGCTATAAGTTGTCATAACGTTGAGAGAAAATCAAAATTCCTGTAATGTCCTTAATGTTATTTTTACTTGATGAACGTTCTCATAATGTTGAGAGAACACATTTTAAGAACAACATTCTCGGAATGTCCTTATGATGTTCTTTGACAAACTTTCTAAGAAATGTTTTTGTAACGTTTAAATAGCATTATAATCATGACAAGAAAACTGGACATTTTGTTGCTTTCGAAACATTTCAAAACAACATTCCCACAACGTTTTTATAACCTAAGTTTACTACCTGGGAAATGATACTCCATATCTTCAGTTTTACGTTTTCTGAATCTAAAAATTGATGCTGCCACCTAGGATGTTTTGAGTGGTTGCTAGGGTGTTGCTATGGAGTTTCTAAAGTGTTCTAAGTGTTTTAAAATGTTGCTAGGCAGTTGCTAGAGGCTCCTGGGTTGTTGCAAACATTGCTAGGCTGTTGCTAGGGTGTTCTCTGTGTTTGATTGGGAGTTGCTAGGGTGTTGCTAAGCAGCTTCTAAGGTGTTCTGAGTGGTATAGCATGTTGCTATGCAGTTGTTATGGTGTTCTGGGTAGTTGCTAGGCTGTTGCTAGTTACTTGATAGGATGTTCTCTGTATTTGATAGGGAGTTGATAAGTGGTTGCTAGGGTGTTGCTATGCAGTTTCTAAAGTGTTTTAAGTGTTTTAAAAATGTTGCTAGGTAGTTGCTATGGTCTCCTGGGTGGTTGCAATGTTGTAGAATGTTGTTATGCGGTTGCTGTAGTGTTCTGCCTCGTTGCAAGGGTGTTGCTAGGCTGTTGCCAGGTAGTTGCTATTGGGTGTTCTCTGTGTTTGATAGGTAGTTGCTAGGGTGTTGCTATGCAGTTTCTAAGGAGTTCTAAAATGTTGATATGTGGTTGCTATGGTGTTCTGCCTGGTTGCAAGGGTGTTACTAGGCTGTAGTTGCTATAGGGTGTTTTCTGTGTTCACTAGGGATTTTCTCCTCCCATTTAAAAGCTGCTAAGCCTTTTATTTTGTTTTCAGAAATATGCATGATGATATGGTTAGTTGCAATTTATTGTTTGCATCTTTCTGTCTGCAACCACATCAGGCCACACCTGAACTAGTGATGTAGATGCATAGTTGTTGATCAAAGAATCAAGACCTGATTGTTGTCCAACATATTCAGGCCCAAAACAAGGGCGTGAAAACAACCTCTCCATGTGTCTATTTGTACACACCACAGGCTAGATCCAATTAACGGCCTTAGAAACAGATACCTGCCACACAACAGGCCACAAGATGATTCCCCTCCCCGCAGATATTCAGCCCTCCTGCTGCGTTCTGTCACCACACACAGCGGCTGTTTAAAACAGCACAGCTCTATTATTCTTCATACGGTATAAATGCATGAGGAGGTAAGAGGTGATGTGATGACTGACAGCACTGTGGGAGATTATGGCGGGTTTATGTTCAGGTTAAACTGTGCATCGCGTTTGGCAGAAACTGATGTTATTATTGCAAGGTACGAGACACCTGTCACCTTCACTGAGGTAAAGCACCAATCCTGTGGCCGGGACAGAGTCTCAGGTTAAATTACATGGGCGGGAACTTTTTTGGGTGCTTCTTAGCTTAAAGATGTTTGACTGTTTGCTTGTTTAAATTACATTTTAAAGCATGGCTTTTTTTCAAAGCATACGGTTATTTTATGTAACTTGTTGCCAACATAATGCTAGGGCGTTGTGAGTGGTTGCTAGGGTGTTGCTATGCAGGTCTCAGGTTGTTCTAAGTGTTTTAAGATGTTGCTATGTGGTTGCTGTGGTGTTCTGGGTTGTTAGTCTATTGCTAGGGTGTACTCTGTGTTTGATATGGAGTTGATAGGTGGTTGCTAGGTTGTTGTTCACTGAGGTAAAGCACCAATCCTGTGGCCGGGACAGAGTCTCAGGTTAAATTACATGGGCGGGAACTTTTTTGGGTGCTTCTTAGCTTAAAGATGTTTGACTGTTTGCTTGTTTAAATTACATTTTAAAGCATGGCTTTTTTTCAAAGCATACGGTTATTTTATGTAACTTGTTGCCAACATAATGCTAGGGCGTTGTGAGTGGTTGCTAGGGTGTTGCTATGCAGGTCTCAGGTTGTTCTAAGTGTTTTAAGATGTTGCTATGTGGTTGCTGTGGTGTTCTGGGTTGTTAGTCTATTGCTAGGGTGTACTCTGTGTTTGATATGGAGTTGATAGGTGGTTGCTAGGTTGTTGCTATGCAATGTCTTAGGTGTTCTAAGTGATTTAAAATGTGGTGTAATTGCTATGGTGTACTAGGTGGTTGCAAGGGCATTGCTAGGTTGTCGCTAGGTGGTTGCTAGGGTGATCTCTGTGTTTGATAGGGAGTTGATAGTTGGTTGCTAGGATGTTGCGATGCATTGTCTAAGGCGTTCTAATTGTTTTAAAATGTTGTGGTGTTGTGGTGTAGTTGTTATGGTGTTCTGGGTGATTGCAAGGCATTACTAGTAGCTGTTATAGGGCATTTTCTGAGTTTGCTAGGGAGTTGCTATTTAGTTACTAAGGTGTTCTGAGCAGTATAACATGTTGCAATGCGGTTGCTGTGGTGTTCAGGGTGGTTATAAGGGTGTTGCTAGGTAGTTGCAATAGGCTGTTTTCTGTGTTTACTAAGGAGATGCTAGATGGCTGCAAGGGTGTTGCTAAGCAGTTGTTATAAGTTTTTGAAATTGTTGTTATGCAATTGCTATGGTGTTCAGGGTGGTTGCAAGGGTGTTGCTAGGTAGTTGCTATAGGGTGTTTCCTTTGTTTACTAAGGAGTTGCTGTGTGGTTCTAAGGGTGTTGCTATGCAATTTGTTAAGGTGTCCTAAGTGTTTTAAAATGTTGATATGCAGTTGCTATGGTGTTCTGGTTGATTGTAAAATAGTTGCTAGTGTGTTTAGGGCGTTTGCTATGCAGTTGCTGCAGTGCTATTAGGGTTTTTGTTGCTGTGCAATTGCAGAGGTGTTCTATTTGCTACATGGTTTCTGGGGTATTACTATGTGGATGCTAAGGTGTTCTGGATGATTCCTTACTGGCTCAAATCAAAAGAGTCGATGCTGACATTTCCATTTACCAGTGTTCATGTTCATGGCTCTTCCTCAGGCCCTGATGGAAGCTCATGACTGTATTGCCGAGCAAGAATTGGATGTCGAAACTATTGAATCCGTGGACCAGGATGAAAAGGCCACCAAACTGGTTTCCCTGGAGAAAACTCGTGACATGCCTTTGGTAAGTGTCTGTGTTATTCATCTACATAATACATAGTCTCTAAGGGCAGCATTGAATATGTCACTGTAGTTTCTGACGATGTGTTTGTTGTACCGCTACACCTTAACATTGTTTAGGGTGTGACCATTCGGAACGAACATGACCGTGTAATCATCAGTCGGGTGGTGAGCGGCGGGCCGGCTGAGAAAAGCAACCTGCTCAGTGAAGGAGATGAAATCCTGGAGATCAATGGTGTTCCAGTCCGTGGAAAAAGTGTTAATGATGTTCACAACATTCTGGTGAGATCCAGAAAGTCCTAAACTCTTTGAAACTTACTTTACCAAAATAATTTGTTAATATAAGGTATACTACTGCTCAAATAAATTTTTTTTTTAAATTAGAGATCGCTCTCATGTTCATGAAGACTTTATTTATTTTATTTAAAATACAGTAAAAACAGTAATATTGTGAAATATTATTACAATGTAAAATAGCTGTTTTCTATGTGAATATATGTTCAAATGTAATTGATTGCTGTGGTCAAAGCTGAATTTTCAGCTTTATTACTCCAGTCTTCAGTGTGATATGATCCTTCAGAAAACATTCTAATATGCTGATTTGCTGCTCAGAAAACATTTCTGATTATTATCAGTGTTGAACACAGTTGTGCTGCTTCATATCTTTTGTGGAAACCATGATATACAGTATTTTATTTTCAAGGTGCTTTGATGAATAGAAAGTTCAGAAGAACAGCAGTTATTTGAAATATTTTGTAACATCATAATTGTCTGTCACTTATGAACAATTTAATGAACCTTGGTAAATAAATTATTACTTTTTTTTCTTTCAAAACAATAAAATCAGTTTACATCTGTGTTCTTCTTGTTTGTCTGTAGTCCTGCATGCATGGGTCCCTCACGTTTCTCCTCATCCCAGATTCTCAAAACAAAATATCTCCTCACCGATCAACTGTGGTATGACTTCATCTGTAATTTCTTAATTTTCATTCCTTCTTTTGAATGTGTGTTTAGGCTTGTCTTCAAACCCTAGTAGGCTTCTTAAGTTGCCACAATGCATTCTGGAATTGCCTTATGCATTAGTATACTTGTGAAAAATGAAAGATAGTTTATGAGGCTGATACCTTTGATAACTACTATTTTGAATAGATTTTATGCTTGGTAGCAGCTCATTAGGGTTTGGTACAAAGCTTATACATGAGCTTTGTCCTGGTCTCCTCGTTCTCTTTCTTTACAGATGCATGTGAAGGCAAACTTCAGCTATGACCCATCTGAGGACCCATACGTGCCATGCAGAGAGCTCGGCCTCTCCTTCCAAAAGGGAGACGTCCTACACGTCACCAGCCAGGACGACCCCAACTGGTGGCAGGCGTACCGGGACGGACATGAGGACCAGAAGCCCCTTGCTGGCCTTATACCTGGTTAGAACAATTAGCAGAGTGCCTGCTGAATTACAGAATAGAGACATAAAAAAGTGCATGTAAATCCACTGAAAAAATAATTTAATGTTTTGCTGAATAGGGCGACATACAATGATATTCATCATGCATTTGCAATGAATTTACACTTTTTATTTGCCAATTAAGTTTAAACTCTGATTCAATGATTATAGTGTTCTTTTATTATTATTTAAATAGTATTATTGTGTTTATTTATATTTTAAATTTGTTTTTTTAATATTTTCTGTTATATATATATATATATATATATATATATATATATATTGTAAGTTATACGTTTTTCAAATTTTGTTGTGTGCTGTTCTTATTTTTCTTATGTAATTATATTAATCTAATTAATAATTAATATTTATTTTGGTTTTGGTCAAAAGTCAGAAAAATATTGAGATATACTTTTGCCACTATTGCCATGTGTCATTTTTTTTTAACACTGACAGTTTTGTGTTTTTCAGAGCAAATAATACAGTCTTTCCCTAACTAGTTGCATGTCTAGTACCATAGTAAGACAAGATCATCTGTGGTCATCATCTGTTGTGTTCTTTCAAGGGAAGAGCTTCCAACAGCACAGAGAAGCCATGAAGAAAACCATTACAGACAGAAATCAAGAGTATAAAGGTGAGCTGGACCACATCTGTCTGAAACTCACTCACTTCCTCACTGAAGATCTCACTGATAACAGATCTTCTTTCCTCAGGGAAACTTTGGTGTGCAAAGAAAGGCAAAAAGCAACGGAAAAAACTCTTGTTTAACCCTAGTAAGAATATCAGTGAGTATCTGCTGAATTCTTAAACATGAAATCAAAATTTAAATTCATTCTTAATTGAGCTAATTGTTCCTGCTGTTATTTTGTTAGTCATCAGTTCTAGCGCAATGAAAATGCTGTGGGTGGTTGCCATATTGTTGTTGTGCAGTTGCTAGGCGTTCTTTGTGGTTTCCAGTGTGTTGCTATGCAGTTGCTAGGGTGTTCTGAGTGGCTCCTTGTGTTGCTGTGTGGTTGCTAGGGTGATCTGAGTGGCTACTAGTGTTGATATGCGGTTGCTAGGTTGTTCTTAGTGGCTTCTAGTGTGTTGCTATGCGGTTGCTGGGGTGTTCTGGGTGGCTTCTAGTGTTGCTATGCAGTTGCTGGGGTGTTCTGATTGGCTCCTTGTGTTGCTATGGGGTTTCTAAGGTGTTCTGAGTGGCTCCTAATGTTGCTATGGAGTTGCTAGGGTGTTCTTAGTCATTTCTAGTGTGTTGCTTGCTATGCGGTTGCTGGGTGTTCTGAGGGGCTGCTAGTGATGGTATGCGGTTGCTAGGGTGTTCTTAGTGGTTTCTAGTGTGTTGCTATCCAGTTGCTAGGGTGTTCGGAGTGGCTTCTAGTGTTGCTATGCGGTTGCTAGGGTGTTCTTAGTCATTTCTAATGTGTTGCTATGTGGTTGCTGGGTGTTCTGAGTGGCTTCTAGTGTTGCTATGCGGTTGCTAGGGTGTTCTTAGTGGCTTCTATGCAGTTGCTAGGGTGTTCTTAGTCATTTCTAATGTGTTGCTATGTGGTTGCTGGGTGTTCTGAGTGGCTTCTAGTGTTGCTATGCGGTTGCTAGGGTGTTCTTAGTGGTTTTAGGGTGTTGCTATGCAGTTGCTAGGGTGTTCTGAGAGGCTTCTAGTGTTGCTATGCGGTTGCTAGGGTGTTATTAGTGGTTTCTAGAGTGTTGCTATGCAGTTGCTAGGGTGTTCTGAGTGGTTTCTAGTGTGTTGCTATGTGGTTGCTAGGGTGTTCTGAGTGGTAGTTTACTGGTGAAAATCCAAATGATCCACTGTAATTCCCTTGCTATGACTTGAGTGCAAGTATAAAGTTTTTTCCACTCGTTTTAGAGTGAATTTGATTCAGCTGATGGGTTTGAGGTGTGAATGGTTTCGGGTGGGTGAAAGGCTGAGGATATAAAAGTCGTTAGCTAACTGACAGACGTTCATGGAGGGAGGTTTCTTCTCCTGCAAGATGGGCAATAAGAAATAACAATGAAAGCATTTCTCACACCCGAGTTGCAATTTGCATTTAAAAACAGAAGGCATGCTGAGAAGGAACGCAGGTTTACCTTTAGCTTTTGGGATCCAGTGTTTACCTTTTGTCTCATGTTGTGGACATTCATTGTTTGGGAATTTCTTTGAAAACTCTTGTTGAGCTGAGTTCAATAACCCTGGTATAGACTAATGAAATTTATATTTTGCAAAAACTCATCAGTAATGAATATTTGTAATTGTTCAGAGCATTACACTGAGGATATCCTGACCTATGAGGAGGTGGCACTGTACCATCAGCCGCCCAACCGCAAGCGCCCCATCGCTCTGATTGGTCCACCTAACAGCGGACATGATGAACTGAGACAAAGACTGCTGTCTTTAGAGCCTGACCGATTCGCTGGTGCTGTTCCACGTGAGATTATGCTTTTTTACAACTTTGGCTTAAAGTTGTTTAACATGACAGCCAAATTACAGGAGGAGGCACAATGGCTCGCTTCCAAAACCTAGTGAGCTGCATCGATATTAAAATTAAATGTCATAAGAGACTCATTATGTTGTAATGCTGTAAGATCATACTTATGTGGGCAGCTTTCCTAAGTTTTGGAACGGAACTAATAATTTAATTACTGAAGGAATAGTTTACCCAAAAATGAAAATTTGCTGAGTTTGTATCTTCATGGGAACAGATTTGGAGAAATGTAGCATTGCATCACTTGCTCACCAATGGATCCTCTGCAGTGAATGGGTGCCGTCAGAATCAGAGTCCAAACATCTCATAAAACATCACAACAATCCACAAGTAATCCACACCAGTCCAGTCCAGGGATAACTACTACTATAACTACTCCAGTTCAATGTTTGTAAGAAACAAATCTATCATTAAGCCATTTTAAACGGTCACTTCTGGCCAAAATATGAGTCCGTAATCCATAATTACACTTCCTCCAGTGAAAAAAATCCATCTCATGTTGTCTCTCACATCAAAATCCACCCACATATTTGTTTAAAGCTGTTTTGGCTTGTAAATGGTGCTTGATCTGTGCAGATTTCTCTCTTGATTCAGACGCAACGTCTTTTTCACTGGAGGAAGCAATATTACAGGTGCATCTCAATAAATTAGAATGTCGTGGAAAAGTTCATTTATTTCAGTAATTCAACTCAAATTGTGAAACTCGTGTATTAAATAAATTCAATGCACACAGACTGAAGTAGTTTAAGTCTTTGGTTCTTTTAATTGTGATGATTTTGGCTCACATTTAACAAAAACCCACCAATTCACTATCTCAACAAATTAGAATATGGTGACATGCCAATCAGCTAATCAACTCAAAACACCTGCAAAGGTTTCCTGAGCCTTCAAAATGGTCTCTCAGTTTGGTTCACTAGGCTACACAATCATGGGGAAGACTGCTGATCTGACAGTTGTCCAGAAGACAATC